GCGGTTGTTAAGTGAATCACTGTGGTCATTAAGCACATGCAGCAGTCATTAGGCAAATCCATTGTGTGCAATGGCTGTTTGTTTTTGGAAACTGGAAGGAAATGCCTGTTTCCAGCAAAAAAAGTCATAAATCTGCAAATGGCTATAAATGCAGGCTGGTTGCTGTGAGTCGAAAAGGCAATGACATTACTGTGAGGTGTGTGTGTGTGTTGTAAGTAGCCCTGGGGAGGTCCGTCATAACTACAAATGGTCACTAAGTGACTCATTATAAATCGAAGACTACCTATATTGCTGAAAATGGATGACTGAAATGCAGCATATAAAAGTTTCCAAGGCAGTCTTAAGGGGAAGACATCAAAAAAAAAAAACCACTACAGATTTTTTAATCCCTGTTCCTTTGGGCATCAGGTGAAGAACCCTTAGCTTATCCTAAAAGTTCAAGTCAACAGCAACTTCTGAAGAAACAGACAATGCTCTGTAGCTTTACTGTATTCATTATATTTTTCAGGCCTAAGGCTAGAATGGGTTACGACTCGAAATGCTCCTATGACTACCAATGGCAGTAGCATATACCTGAATATATGTTATTTTTAAAATTGCTCCTGCATTCCTTCCGTGCCTTGATGCTTCGTCTCCTAGAGTACTGGATTGAATGAAGTTGAAATTCAATCCAGATAAGTCTAAAATACAACCGATTGAGGACACAGTTTACCAGAGGCCTGGAGTGAAGAAATGGTTAGATTTTCTGACAGGTCTTTCAATCCATCTCTCAGAATGACTGCTCTGTTGGCTCTCACACAGTGTAAACAGATTTATTATAGGCCAAGATGGGGCTCTCTGTAATTTTTAGCATTGTGATAAATATTTACTATATTTTAACTTTGCCCTGTACATTAAGGCAGTGGAGCAAAGTAGAATAAATAGATATGAGCTGGGGATCAAATCCCATCTGGAATTTGGAATGGTGAAAATTTCTTTACTTTAAAATTGCACATGCACATACTACTGTACAAGATGCAGTTGTCTTCCTATTGTTAAAATTATCCACTGATCACACAATATTTAGGGATTACCCTGATTATCACCTGATTCAGAATGGACTATCCCAGATCAACTCCAACTGGGATAAGTTAATTTACCGTACTTTGAAGTAAGTTGTTTGGGCTTTGCATGGCTCTTGTCTTTATATTCTTGTAACAAGACTTTGAATTTGCAAATATTGTCAGACATAAAAGATAAGGCGAGGTATTATAAAAACATATTAATAAACCATACACATATTTTTGAAACCCACATTTTCTGTAATTAATTTTTATGTATTTTGTGACAGAATTGAAATTTATGTTTCAAGGAATACACACCATGACATTATTCTGGCTTGTAATGTACTATAAATTATTATTGAAAATTCTTCTTCCGAGCTGAATAGCAAAATCATTTTAAATATTTTAAATTCAGTCCAAGTAGTATAAGGCTTTCAGAAAAAATAGAGAATTTGATAATATAATAGCTATTATATCCTGGGATTCTTATATCGACTTCTGCTACTCAAATAACATGCGAGCCTGCAAATGTGTAAGAACTGCTAAAAATGCCCATTGTTCATTAATGAATTAAGCTAATTTCAACATAATTCTACTTGATCTAAAAATACACATTGGAATTATTTGTGGAAAAAGTTTATTTAAAGTGTTCCTTGGCTCAAATGGGAAGTAGTAGAACAAGGGACACAGTTAGATTTCCTGTTTTGCTTTTGTATTGCTATTGCAGTATAGTTACACTATGCATAAACTTAATATCACTACTAATTGCCCAATCATCTCTATTCATCTAAGTGGGGAGAAAAGCCAGCTCAAGGTATTGGATGCCAGAGGCAAAGGGTAATATGCCATAGAAAATAGCAATATTAATATTAAAGTCTTTTTGACCATGTGATGGGACAATATTCTCAACCGCCCTGCATCAGTGCTTTGCTCTTCTTAATAACTAAATTTTCATCAAAATATAATTAAGTAATATACAGCAATAATACGAACAGAAGGAACAACCTGCCTCCAGAAGCGGTGAATGCTCCAACACTGGAAGTTTTTAAGAAGAGACTGGACAGCCATTTGTCTGAAATGGTGTAGGGTTCCTGCCTGAGCAGGGGGTTGGACTCGATGACCTCCAAGGTCCCTTCCAACTTTATTATTATTATTATTATTATTATTATTATTATTATTATTATTATTATTATTAT